AAAATAAATAAAACGTTAAAAAAAAAAATTAAAAAAAAAAAAGTGCTCCCTGAGAACCGTGCCTAGTGCACACGACGTGTTCAGTAAGCGCTGTGGCTCGTTGTCATTCCTGGCCTGCTCCCCAGGAGCCACCGCATGGAAACTTAGCACGCCTGCGACAAGAGTCAGGATTCCTGGTCAGCTTTGACCTAAACGTATGCACCCTTCCAGCCCTTTATTCATATTCCAGCTGAGTGGCTTTCCTGTCACCGAGGAGTGCATGAGGATCGGAGGGGCCCTGGGGCCTCACCTGTGTCTGTCACACGCTTTTTGGCTTGGCTCCCAGAGTCCAGGTCTGGGCCATGGGTGCTCAGAGAGCCCCTGGCTTTTCCTGGCACAAGGTTGCTGAGACACTGAAACTGTGCAAACCACTTCAGGCAGGACGTGTTACACTCATATGTGTTTGTTAAGGCAGGGGGTGGGAAAAGGAAGCAGGTTCAGGTGCAGCAGCGTTTCGTGGGTCCCTGATAAACAGGAAGGCTCCCTCTCCCACTTCTACACGCATGCCCTGAAGGTCCCCCACCCCGAGCACACCAGGCCCCTCCCCCACTCTGAAACAGCTGACCACGCAGGCCTGCAACCGTCCACGCTCCCCAGGATCCAGGATCCATGGCTCTTCCTGAACCCTTCCACTGCAGACAGGGCAGGGAGCTGGCGTTTGGCTCAGGAGGCCAGAACCCCAGCCCCGCCTCCACAGGTGCCCCAGAGACCCTGCACCGTCCCAGCCCAAGGCAGGTGTGGCAGGGAGGACGTTGAGTAAATGTACATGGCGATGGCAATGGCCAGATAGGGCCACCATTACCTTAAGTATAACCCCCTCATCGTGTTTGGCTGCTTTGACTTCTCAGAGTCCTTTCATGGGGACTTGCATTACCTCTCGGGGTCACCAGGGAGTAAGACAGGACAGGCATCATCCCGCTAAAAAGATAAAGCCCAGGAGAGTCTCCTGATCTGGCCTTGAGGCCTGGAACAGGGCAAGGGTTGACACTTGCCTGAAGAGCTTACCTATGTCCACTAGTTCTCGATCCCTGTGGTCACCTGATCTAGGATCTGCCATCTTGCCACTTGACCCCACTGCTCCTTTTTAATGGCGCATCCTGAGAACACAGCCATTTTGCCCTAGCCGCAGGCTGGCACAGACCCAGGCCTTCCCACGGGTCCCTTGGAAGCGAAACGAGATCTGTCTGTAGCTCCCACAGGCACTGAGCCTCCCGGATACGGCAAGTGGCCTCCTCCCCTCTCCCTCAACCTCTTCACCCCCCAGCCTCAGAATGCAGCCCCCTCCCTGTCCCCCTCTGCGTAGGGGAACCCTGACCCACACAGGGAACAGGCCTGTCGCGGAAGGGCCACCGAACCCAGTAAGAACCTTCTGGGACCTTACCTCCCCAGTAAGAACAACGGCAGCCAAGACCACATTGCCCACTCTCGTCTCATCCCCACCGGTGGGGACCTATGAGGGAGGTATGATTATCAGAAAGGTGCAGAAGCCGAAGCACAGAGAAGTTAAGTAGGTTACCCAAAGTTACTCCACAATCGTGCAAGAGCCAAGATTTAAGCTCGGGTCGTTTGGCACCGAAGTCCGCGCTTTGTCTACCAACCCCAGTCGCCACCCATTTGGGTTGGCGTTGTCCCTCACGCTTGTCTCTGCCATTCGACCGGTTTACATGAGGTGACCTCAGGGCTGAAATACCCCCAAAGACCCCCAAAATTATGGGCTTTTGTTCCCACTTAAAAGCCAGAGATTCCCGAGGAAGAACACAGCTGTGGTGTTTTGGGGTTGCCCCTTTTGATACTAAGCTGTCAAATAGCAGGATCTCTGCCTCACAGCCACTGCTCTGTCATCAGGCCCTGTGGAAACCTTTCTCCATAATGGCGGTATCTGTGGTGGGCAGACTAGAGGGGACAGGCCTCAGGGCTTGATTTTAGCTGCAGCATCTACTTTGGTATTTTTTTCCACTCTTTCTGAGGCAGCAGTGAGGCAGAAAGGGCCACTGAAATGGGCAGGGTCATAACGAGGAAGGACAGAGAACGTTCTGCAACACTAGAGTGTCAGTAATGGAAGCCTGGCCCACTGGCCTTTGAAGGCATCCGTAGAGACTTCTACTCCAAACGAAGCAGCAGTTGGCGACGTGGGGCTACGCCGCCCGGAATGGCTCATGGGCCTATTTACCACCATCTACAAGCTGGTCCCTCTCAACCTGCGACATCCACCATCTGGGACGGGCAGAGTCTGCAGGAGACGGAGAGTAGCACCCCACCCCCACTTTCCCAGCAGGCCATAGAACCCAGTGCCTGACCGGACCCCTGTGTGGAAGTTGACCCGCCCCTGTGCTCCCTTCTGACAGGGAACCCGCTCGGGGGACCACCTTCCACGCCGCCCCTCCTTTCGTCTCTGAATTGTCCCACCGGTCTCCATACCATGATGCGATGCCTTCCACATCCTCCGTGCAGCAAGATGGAGAACTTCTGGCCTGGCATGACGAGAGCACTCAGACAGAATGGATCTATGAGAGCAAGTTGGGTAAGGGGAGCTGCCCCCCGCTGGCCGTCACACAGGGGGCTGGAGGGGGCATGCATTCCGTGCGTGCGAAAGAGCGGGGCTCCCGCATTGCCTCTCATGCTGATGACAGATCTTTCTTCCCGTGCCATTCGATATGGTACTTTAGGGAAAAAGTTAAATTCCTCTACTAGCCCTGCCACCCCCATCCTCCAGCCCAGAACCCCCCTCAGAGAAAGAGCATCAGCAAAATGCTAAAACAAATACCTTTTTCAATCTTCCCCTCTCTTTTCATTAGCCTTCCTGTTCCCGTTCTACATGAACACAGGCCCTATTTCCCTCGGGGACACAGGCCATTACCTTCCCAGATTACAGACTGGTTCCTCGGGGTGATGGGCTGTATCCGGATGATCACGTGGACAGTGGCAAATGGGATTCTGTCTCAGCAGGCAGGCAAAGCCAGCCCGGATTCAGAACCAGCCAAAATCATCGGCAGCGTGAACTTTTGTAGCCACCACCTGGAGACACTCCAGAGACAGTTTGGCAAGATTGCGTTGAGAATCTTAATCCTCTCCCCAGTTAAGCCCCAAGTCCCCTCACTCTAGGATCCTGGGACGGAACACTGAATAGCATTTCTTGCCGTTATTAATAATTTAAATCCCGCCTTCGTGAGATTGATCCGTCACGGGTCCACAGATTCATTTCACATCTGTAGTCATGGCAGCGGTAAATTAGATTCCCCCATCACCCCCCCCCCCTTCCCTGCCTGCATCCGTGCCTGCTATATTTTGCAGCTCAAATGTGGTTAAATGAAATTAAGAGCCCGAAACCCTATGAGGGAGGGGGGAGAGGCAGAGGGCAGGGCCACGCAGGCCAGGAGCCCAGTGGCGCGGGCAGCCCAGGCGGGATGAAGAGTATATTATGGGCTAAATCAGTTCGTGTGGGACTTCGGTCAGCACGTGAGCTCCGAGGGAGCCCTGCGAACTGGAACCATTTCAAAGTCAATAAGCATGACAGCTGGGGAGAATCTGAGCATTTATCTAAATATTCATAAGCAGGATTCTTAAAGCCATTTACTGGGTAATAGCCTGTAAAGGGCCAGTGCTAAGCTTGAAAGGGTGTGGGAGGGAAGAAAGAAGATAGAAGAAGGCAGGGGGGAGGGAAGGGGGGCACCAAAGCCTGTCCTTACAGCTGTGGACCCACCTCCAGAGAGAGAGAGCCTCCTGCCGTCATTGTTTTATCTGACGTGTTCATTCATGATCCTTTCGGTCCCTAAGCTTAATTTACAGAGCTAGTCATGTCTGTGTCTAATTTAGGTCTGAAGCACTCTGCATATTTGGTCTGTAGGGGCACGCTTTGCAGCTAAGTGTCTTTTTAACACTGAGTTCCTTACAGCCAGCATATGTTTGGTGTTTATTAAAAGTCTAGCCACCCACGGGAAGTGCCTGCTGATCAAATATTGTGACATGGGTGGCTTGGGCCAAAGATGTGCTCTGGGTTGGAGGCTCTAAGCCAGGACCAGGGACACACCCAGGTTCCTGCATTTACGTGAAGGGGTGGTGCCCACAGCAGAGGTTGAAACACAAGGGACAGCAGGCAATTCTCTAAAATTTGTGGAGGTTTTTCTTTCCCCTTCTGCCTTGGATTTGCAAGCCATCCTTTGGAGAGCACGGCTAACCGTTGGGCCAAACGTGCCTATAATATGTACATGATTATGTCTGGGCAATGGGATGGGGCAGACAGATGGCAAAGATACTTCCTTCTGAAGTGAAAGAGTTGTAAGAGAAAGTGACGGCGTGTAGGAAAAAACCAGGAAGTACGGAGGTCCAGGAAGGTGCAAGGGCTCAAACCCACGTCAAGAGGAGAGAGAGGAAAGTGACACAGGGAAAATGATGCGTGGGTGACGGGATGGGGCCCATGCCATGAAGGAAAGCCAGTCCTTCTGCGGCTGGAGTACAGAACACTAAGGACTCCCAAGGAGGCAAGACACAAAAAAAGAATCTGCTTTCAGCCCGGGGCAGGAGCCAGCCACCCACTTGTTGGAGAAACACAGACATTCAAGGCAAAAACAAGCCAAAACGCTGGCTGTGTAGGGCTGAGGGCCAGTGGGAACAGCAGAGGTGAGAGCAGGCATCGATAATGCGATTCCTCCGGGTCCGGGACTGTGCATCCCTGTCCCAGATTTCCTGTAAAGATGCAGACTTCCAGCCTTATCAGGATCCCTGTCTGCATTCTTAACAACATCCCCAGAGGATTCATAGGCACAGGAATATTGGAGAACCAGAGAACCTCAAGTGGAGGATAAATTTCACGGGGGCTAGGTTCCTCTTTTTAAAGCATTGGTAAGTTATGGGATTGTTCAACCCCCGCGGGCCAGAAACAGCATTTTACATGGCAAGGCCCTTCTCAACAAATAAGACTTTGAACCGAATATGGAGGGAAAACACCCAGATAAATCCTTGAAACCTATTACTATGGAGAGTGGCAGTCTGATAATGAAGGAATGCTAACGGCACAAGAAATGCCTCATGATGTATATCAGGAAGTGTTCCGAGGGAGGACCAGAAAGGCTATTGATGGCCTCAGGTGTCTACCTATCCACGCACAGAGCAGGATCGTAAAGAACTGCAGAATTTCTAACACAGAGCATTATGCCCATGGCTGTAAAACTCCTCAAGACTTAGTGCCTGGCACATAGTAAGCCTGTGTGAGTATACTGTAAATATTTGTTCAATACTTGCAAAATTGTTGTTGAATCCTCACCTGACTCAGGACTGGATATGGTGATAGGAGGGTGTATCCCACTCCCCAAAAAAGTCTTGGTAGGAAGGGGGCTCCGTATAGAAAGATGCATATACAAAGAGATACTGTCCGTATAGGAATGTGGGTGGGGATAAACAGAGGGAGGAAGGGCTGTCAGCGGAATTTACTTCAAGCCACCTGGCCGGATGGAGAAGACGGAGAACTCTCCAAAGTGCAGACCAGTGCCGTTTCCTCCGGTAGACTCAGATTTTGAAAGATCACACGCAGAGGCTAAAAAGATGAGAAGGTTACCTGTGATAAAGGTAGGAAAATGGCTGAAACTTAAGAATAGGGCCAGGAGGGGCGCCCGGGTGGCGCAGTCGGTTAAGCGTCCGACTTCAGCCAGGTCACGATCTCGCGGTCCGGGAGTTCGATCCCCGCGTCGGGCTCTGGGCTGA